CAGACATATTGTCAGGAGGGACCAGTCACTGGAAAAGGATACCATGTTTGGTGTGGTGGAAGGTCAGAGAAAAAGAGGAAGAACTCCAGCAAGATGGATTGGCAAAGTGGCAGCATCAATGGCTTTGGTATGGCAACAAGTGTGAGGTTGGGCCAGGACCGGGCAGTGTTCCGTTCTGTTGTTTATGGGGTTGCTATGAACCGGTACTGGCTCAATGGCACCTAACAACACAACAATAACATGATTATAAAATTAGTCACTGCCTTTCTGCCTGGTGTTAAAATGCTTCATTGATAGATGGCTAATTAACCTTGCTTTCCTGGTCTTCAAGCCAACATATATTGACAAAAAAGCAAGCTGTCTACATTGTTCCTCTCAATAACGAATGATATTATCAAAGTTTCTTGAGAAAAAAATACCAAATATTTTTGCTTATTTTCCCCATCATAACTGTTTATAACTGTTAGCTTTCTAAAGCTTACTTTTATCTGTCACCACATAACTTTTAATCCAGGTCCAATCACAATGCATTAATACACCTAGTATTAAATACTAGATGGCACTTCCTGTCACTTCTGTATGTATACCATAACAAAAACAAGAAAACTAAAGGAGACTACCCATTTGAATATAAATTTTGGAAGTTTACATTTTAAGGCCCCAACCTTGCAAAACTATTCCAATATTACATTTTCTAATTCTTCCTTAGTCAACTAATTTCCCAGGCTTTCCTAAAAAATAATTCTCTTAGAAGTATGCTGCATTTCCTAATTCAGATTTTAACCATAACACTAAAGTTTACAACTAAACCAATTCACTGCACTTTTTAGTGTTATTAGTAGCACAAAAATAATTATAAAGTATTACTTCAAAAAATTAGAGATCGATGTAACCATAATTTAAATACTATTCCAAACACTTCTAGATGACAATCTACCTACTTTCCTCATGAACTCGTTCAATGTTGAAGGCTCTGCTATGCTGATTCAAACTTAGCTGCTGTTCATGAAGGTCGACAGGAATGGGATTTATGCCAGTTCCTTCAAGATACAACCTGATCCGTTGCCTCCATAACCACCTTAGAAAAGTCAAGGGAAAGAAAGTTGTCAAGACAGAATAAATTAAACTAAAAGAATGGACATTATAATAATTTCACAAAAAGAATAAAAAGTTATTTACAAACTTGTTTTTACATGCCATCCAGAATTCCAAAATACTTGGCTTTTTGGCTAATAACAAGTAGAAAATCTATATATTACTGTGTTAACAGGTGGCCAGATTAACTAAAAATCCCCCACAGCCAAAATTCAAGTTGATGATTTTTTTAACAAGAAAAGGTAAAGATAATAAGAATAAATAAGTATTACAACATTTTCAAATGTACCTAAAAATTTAAATGATAATTTGCTAAAAGTAAAGAAAAACAATCAGGCCTAGTTTATTTAACAACCAAAAATTCCTATTTCAAAAAGTCAAATGACACAGATTCCGTTAGGTAAGTACATAAAATAAGACTCCTAACTGGTGGTATGGCACTGTATAGTAAGCACTGGACTGCTAACCAAAAGTTCAGTGGTTCAAACCTTCTAGCCACTCCTTGGAAACCCGATACAGGGTCGCTATAAGTGGGAACCAACTCAATGGCACTTAACAACAACAACAACAATTTGGTGGTTTTAAATTAGTAATTTCTAGAAGCACCAAGCTTTCGGAATGACTAGAAACTTGAATTATAGCTAAATAAAGTGACTCCAGAGTTGTCAAACAGATTTGCTATATTTCACAAATACACTGGGGAAAAGTTTTCTCTTACTATAAAATCTAGTCTAAGTCAAGAAGTAAAATACAGCCCAGCTTGGACTCTCTCAACTAGAAGTGAGCAAGTGCTACGTCTCCTTCCACTCTCTTCATTTCAGTCTGATGACTAAACAGAATAAGTGAAAGAAATATGAAAACACCCCACTTACTATGTAATATGTAAGAGGACTCTTGGCGGGTTGCTGTAGGATCAGCACTGGAATGCAAACCACAAGGTCGGCAGTTCAAACCCATCAGCTGCTCCTCAGAAACCCTAATACAGGGTCATTATGAGTCAGAACCAACTTGACAGTACTTAACAACAACTATTATGCAAGAGAGAGATACTAGGCATCTCAGCATTGCTGGAGTAAAGCCAATTCTCAGTCATTATAGGGTGAAGATAAAAATGATGAAGATAAAAAAAGATGAAGATAAGAAACATAAAATCTTTTTGCACACTCAATTTTAACCAATACTTATAACGATCTTTCTTCCAAACTGCTAAGAATTTGTAACAAGGTCAACCAAGTAGAAACAACGCCCCTATCTCACTGAAGGTAAAAACCTGTTGTTGTTGTTGTTGAGTGCTTTCAAGTTAGTGTTGACTCACAGTGACTTTATATAGTTTTCAAGGAGCAGCTGGACAGTTTGAACTATGACCTTGTGGTTCAAACCGACCTTGCAGTCCAGTGCTTTATTCCACAGTGCCGTACCAGGAATCCTTGCCATTATATTATAGGTCAGTTACATTTGTCACGGTTTCTAAACACAATTGAAAATGGACTCTTGTTGTTGTTGTTGCTTTTAAGTGCTGTTAAGTCAGTTCTGACCCATAGCAACCTCATGTAGGGTTCCTAAGAAGCAACTGGTGAGCTTCGCTGATGAACTTGAACTGTAACGACCTTGTGGTTCAAACCGACTTTGCAGTCCATCGCATTCAGCCACAGCACCACATCAGGACTCCAGTCAAAATGGACTGTTGTTGTTGTCGTTATGTGGCGTGGAGTCGGTTCCGACTCATAGCGACCCTGTACAGGGTTTCCGAGGCTGTTAATCTTTACGGGAGCAGAAAGCCTCTTCTTTCTCCCGTGGAGCAGCTGGTAGTTTCAAACTGCTGACCTTGCGATTTGCAGCCCAATTCATAATCACTACGCTATCAGAGCTCCTTCAAAATAGACTAGGAGACAGTATATTCAATCTCTCTATGAATCCAATAAATTCTCTCTTATGGCTACAAACTAGTCAAATTCATAGTAGCTGAGTTGTCTCCCATTCTTAACAACCCTATGTGGCACAGTAAAACTGTTTCATAAGGTTTCTGAAACTATCCATTTTTACAGGAGCAGATAACTTCATCTTTCTCCACAGGAGAAAATTAGCAGCCCAAAATTTAACACACGGCACACCACCAGGGATCCTTTACACAGTTACAGCTAATTCAAATGTCATCTTTAGCAACATTTGTAACATAACACATCTAACAAAGAAGAATAGTAAAAAACTCCTACCTGAACTCTCCACGATAAAACTTCTTTAAGGCTTCTGGGAAGGAATGTGTATATCGGACAGGTAGACACAAATGACCCTCCGACCTTTATTTTAAAACGGATTTTGTGTGATGTAAAGGGGGGTAAAAAAAAAAAAGGGTGAGAGGAAAAAATAAACATTTAAGTCAAGCTATGAAAATTAGATATAAATTTTCTACTCTATAAACCTTATTTTGTGCCCCCAAATTATCTGCTTTTAACAAGAAAAAGGCCAAATATAAACTCTATTCAGCTTTAATGCCATAATATACAGTAATACTTAAGTTTCCACATTATAATGAAACAAAAAATATTAGTAAATCTGCCACTTACTGATTACTCAAAGTTACCTACAGTGAAGTTTTTAGCTTTTTAAATTATTTCACAAAACTTTGGACAAGTTAAGTTAGCAGCAGGTTCATCTCTAAAATGATGACAACTTCATCAATCTCAAAGGGTTATTCTGAGGAAGCAATGAAACAATCCAGTAAAAATGCTTTGAATGATAATGTCTTTTTCAATGTCACTAAAACATGACTGATGAAAAAGTGTACTTCTATGTATCCCTTCACCTATTAAAAAAATATGAGGATGAACTCCCTTAATGTTTCTGCATCACAGTCTGATGCAGAAACAGAATAAAAACACCAAATCACACATTACGATGGATGCTATAGGATAAAGAAAGTACATGCACCTAAAGTGAGGAACAAAGTCGAAAAAATGCAATCATCATCACATGTGACATTCCAATCTTCGACAAAACGCTGAGTGTAGGTTTGGCAAACAGATTCTTGCTAATAAGTATAAACTAACTTGTAAGTGTGAAGACTAAAGAAAAAGATTTCTATAAAGCTGTGAGAGGCAACAGCTTTTTTATCTTGTTGTTGTTGTTGTTATGTGCCGTGGAGTCGGTTCCGACTCATAGCGACCCTACACAGGGTATCTGAGGCTGTAAATCTTTACGGGAGCAGACAGCCTCATTTTTCTCCCACGGAACCGCTGGTAGTTTCGAACTGCTGACCTTGCGGCTCGCAGCCCGATTCGTAACCACTATGCTACCAGAGCTCAAAACTGAGGTTAAAAAGGGTGTGGCCTACTTCATTTATATTTTATAGTCATAGCAATATTTTACACAATGCTACTGCATCAAGTCATTTGATAAAGCTGAGTAACTGCTGAGGTCCACCCTAAACATTCTAGAGAGAAGGGTCTTCTCTCAACAGTTCATATTCGGATGCTACCTAGGACTGCCGGCATCTGAAGGCTGGACTTAGGCTCGAGGATTCCCTTCCAAAGTGTTTCTTTCACATGGCTGGCAAACTCAAACTGGTGCTGGATATTAGCAAAGACCTCAATGCCTTTTCATGTGACTCTCTCCACAAGGCTAATTAGCTGTCCTTGCATCAAAGTGGCGGAATTTCCCCAAAATGATCAATTCAAGAGGCCAATGCTGGAGCTGTAACACTTTTTATGACCTGACTTTGGGAAGCCACACCATATTCTACTGGTGACACAAAGCAGGCACCCTTCTGCATATGGCGAGGGGGTGAGAGGAACCACACAAGGTGTAAAACTAGGAGTCTACCTGAGAGTCCTGGTGAGGTGGTGTAAGATAGGCACTGAACTGCTAACCACAGGTTGGAGGTCCAAACACACCCGTTGCTCCTCGGAAATCCTATTCAGCACCACTATGAATTAGAATCAACTCGTTGGCACTCAGCACCAACAACTTGAGAGGCTGCCTACCATTATCTTCTCTCCCATTTTAAATCGCAAACATTCAAATGTAGTCATTACCAAGCTCAAGAGAATGGGAGAATATAGAAGAAAAGTAAATTAGATCTTTAGAGGAGTCTGTATTATTAGTGAGCCACCTTGAAAACGAATCCTTGAGCCCAAGTTAAGCTATCAGATGTCTGCAGTTGGTAACTATTACCTCTTAAGACAATCCATGCCAAACCACCTAGTCAAGATAATTCCAAATTCTTGAACACAGAAACCGTAAAGTAGCACATTATTAATTTAAGCCTCTAAAAAATTAAGCAGCATTGATAAACTACAGAGAGGAGAAGACACTTAAGTTGAACATTAACTTCCAGGCTTCATTTAAAAATGTGCGGCACCATGGTGTTTATGAAAAAGAAGTCAGACACCTTGAATTATAGAACAAACTCGTAGGAGGCTTAGTATTTTTTTGCCTAGAGGCAAGAGAATCCAAAGGACTTCTAGAACCTATAATTCTAGGTAGAAATCTAAATCCAGAGAAAGGATGGCTTTATTAACACCCTTCTGCTTACCAAGTTTCAAACTTCCCATAAGCTTATAAGTAGTAAACCAGTTTTCTAAATGATAATGTATTTTAATAAATATTAAATAAGATCATCAAAGTTTAGCAAAACATTTCTTATCATAATGATATAAAAATATGCCACTACTAAGAAGTCCAAAAATCCACATGCATCAACACTGAAGACAATCAAAATTAATTACTTCATTAATAACCTCAACTTCATATGCTCAGGGAATACTTACTTAGCTGAATTGGGATCCTAGCCTTCCTTCCAGAAATCATTTGGTTTATGATTCATTTTCAAATGTTTACTGCCTACCAACAATGTGTAAAATTACGCTAGTGCTAGAGAAATTAAAATACAAGGTTCTGTATTCTAGTTTAGAGTCTAATGAAAGATATACACAGTCAAACGGGAAATAACTTAAAAGGATAAGTGCTGTCTGTAGAGGGAATTACAGTCAAAGCCCAGAGGAGGCACCAGTCCTGAACGAGCAAGACAAGCAAATATGAATAAGTACTCCTAGGCAGGAACCCAGACAAATCCATGAAAGGGCCATGGCCTCATAGAAAATGCATTCACTTACTCTCTACTCTTTCAAGTCAGGAGCTTTCTGGAATTCCAGAGCTAAGGCCTCCATGTATGGAACCACCAATGGTGTAGTAGATACTCATACAGTTATATTCTACACCTAAGAATAGCACTTAGCAGGATTCTAGAGAACTGCAGTAATGTATAATGACTGCAGGTAAATGAGGATAAAGTTAGAAAAGCAGATTGGTAAAGGATGTGTAAAGACGTGGTTGTATAGGTAAATATACACATATAAATATGTGTGTGTGTGTGTGTGTGTGTATTTTGTTGGTGGTGGTGTTATCAAGTTGGTTCTGACACATAGCGACCCTATATAAGGCTTCTGAGAGGCAGCTGGTGGGTTTGAATTGCCAACCATGCAGTTCAAACTACCCTTGTGGTCCAGTGCTTATCCTATTGTTGTTGTTGTTAGGTGCCATCGAGTCGGTACCGACCCATAGCAACCTTATGCACAGCAGAACAAAACACTGTCCGGTCCTGGGCCAACCTCACTACTGTTTCCACGCTTAAGTCCATCAATGCAGCCACTTGGCCAATCCATCTCGTTGGGGGTCCTTCCTCTTTTTCTCTGACCCTCCACCTTACCAAACACGATATCCTTCTCCAGTGACTGGTCCCACCTGACAGTATGTCCAAAGTAGGAGAAACAAAGTTTGGCCATCTTGGCCTCTAAGGAGCACTATGGCTGTACTTCTTCCAAAATGGATCTATAGGTTCTTTGGGCAGCCAATGGCACTTTCAATATTCAACTCCAACACCATTAACTCACATGTAACAATTCTTCTACGGTTTTCCTTATTCACTGTCCAGCTTTCGCATGCATACGAAGTTATTGAAAATACTATGGCTTGGGTCAGGCGTACATTAGTCCTCAAGCTGACATCTTTGCTCTTCAACACTTTATAAAGGTCTTGCACAGAAAATCTACCTAATGTAATACGTCGTTTGATCTCTTGACTGCTGCTTCCCTGAATGTTGATAGTTGATCCAAGGAGACTGAAGTCCTTGACAACTTCAATCTTTTCTCCAGTGATAAAAATGTTGTTTATTGGTCCAGTGGTGAGGATTTTTGTTTTCTTGACATTGA